CCCTAACAGATAGACCATCAGGGCGGGTAATGCTCGACTAAGGGGTGACCGCTATGGAGGGTCGACCATGCAAGGGAACAAGGGAGCTTGGTATATTGGGCGCACCTAGATGAAGCATGCGGGGCTGCCTAACTAGGGCGTGAGGGCTGGCAGAGGGTAGAGGTGATGGGTAAGGGAATCATGCAGGTGACTCCTAAGGTGGGGAAGTCGGAGCTAGATCCGTAAGATGGGAAGTCAGGGCAACGCTACGGTCCCGATGCCTATGCGTATACCAAGGGAGAGCCCAACTCAGAGGAACTCGGCTAAAGGGAGACCATCATGTGACACAAGCAGGGTACTGTACAGCGTAAAGTGGTGAGAGAGTGGCGACGTCTGAAGTAGGCAGAGCTGATCGTGACGAAGTCCATGAAGCTGCCGATGACGTCCACGATGAGAAGTCCGGAATGCCGTCGAGGAAGAGCCGCAACGTCGACGAGCGGAAGTAGCAAAACTGGAGTGGATGGAGTACGGAGAAGTCAAGGACGCGGGAAGGTAAGTCAGAGTCAATCGTCGTATCGAGCAGGACGACGACGAGTGCGCTGTGGACGCTCAAAAGCATCCGGCTGCTGCTGAAGGTCTGCCTCAGATGGAGCAGGCTCGACTTCAGCGGTCTCCTCAGCCGGGGGAGAAGGAGGAGGGTCAGTGGGCTGAGGAGGAGCAGTGAACCCAGCATGATGAGCGCGGTCATAGGCATGCACCAACATGCGAGTGTGCTGCAAGTGCTCGAGGGGCTCCCAGGTGGCCTCCTCATCAGGGTAACCCTTCCAACGTACGAGATACTCGACGTGGGGAGGGTTGTCGTCGGTGACTCGGCGACCAATGATGTCTGAAACGAGGAACTCCTCGTGGCCATCCACCATGATGGGTGGAGGGCGTTCGTATGGTCATCCAGCGAAACGCTCAGACGGTCTACGGTAAGGACTCAGTAACAAGACGTGGTAGACATCGTGCACACAAGCCTGACGTAGATAGTCGGGCAGCTTCACACGGAAGCTGACCGGGCTAGAAGCCGTATTAGAACCGACGGCCTGGAGGATGCGGCATGGGCCAAAGAAGCGACGCCGAAACTTGCGAAGCATGTCCGCTTCGAGCTGTAAGTGGCGGACGTCGATAAGCACATGATCACCAACTTTGAATGGATGATCCATTCTCGATCGGTTCGCACGTGCTGCCATGCGAGTCTGGGAAGCGGCTATGTGCTCATGTGCGGTCTTCATGATCGACATCATGTGTGCAACCCAATCATCCAGCGCGGGACAACTCGTGTCGGGGTGCAGCTGGGACAGTCGAAGGAAGTCCGCGGGAACACGAGGGTGATAGCAGAGGTCGCAATAGTAAGGCGACATCCCCGTGGCTGGCGAGACGGCGTGGTTGTAGGCTATCTCCGCGTGGGCAAGATGGAGATCCCACTGCTGGTCGTCACGAACAATCTTTCAGAGAATATCCCCGAGAGTCCTGTTCGTGATCTCGGTCTGACCATCAGTCTGAGGATGGTAAGACGAGGAGAAGCGGAGCTGAGTGCCGTACACCTCGTGGAGCCGTCGCCAGAATCGGCTGGTGAAGCGCGGTGTGAGGAAACCCGGGGAGGGGCTACCTACCTTACGCTGAAGACATGGGCTACGCCGCCTGTCACTTCGCCGCGCCCGCTCCGAGGTCCTCTGCGTCCAGTAGGGTGAAGGGGGCCAATCGAGTTCAAGATTTGTTTTAGCCCTTTTGTCACGCAGCGTTCTTCAGCAATTGGAGAAAGTATGGTAGATTACTAAATATTTGAATAAGATTAAAGAAATAAGTAAGAATAATAAATAAATAAAAGAGTAGCAAAATTAAGACTGGCACTCTCTCTCCCTCTCTCTGCCTCTGTCTGTCTCAGTCCCAGTTCCCCTCTCTCTGCGTGAACCTGCTATCCCTCTCTCTCTCTCTCCCTGTCTAACTCAGTTCCAGTCCCCCTCTCTCTGCGTGAATCTGCTATCCCTCTCTCTCTCTCTCCCTGTCTTTCTCCCCCTCTGCGTGTGCCTGCTCTCTCTCTCTCTTTCTCTCTCTCTCTCAGTCCCTGTCCTTCTCCCTCTCTCTCGTCTCTCCTCCCTTCTCATCCATGTATGTCGGTGCCTGGCACTTCGTCTGTGTGTGATAGCGCCAGGTCCCCCTTCACACCACGTGATGATGGTGATGATATTCAGTCTGTGTCACGACATTGATTGGGTCTGATTATTGGTATTTCAGCCTTCCGCTGTGCTATCTTTACTATATCTGTACATCTGTGAGAGGTCGGTTCTGGGTTCTGGTCTGCACCATGTTGGTGTGTGACACCTAGCTCAACGCCAACAGCAGGAGGAGGTGAAGCAACAAATCAGAAGACATCACACAGCAGCTCAACAAATGTAACACTAAGTCATTACCTCAGGAGAAACCAAAGCCCAATTCGCCATTCAGGCATGGGGATATGCTTGAAGAACAATCTGGTCGCATCTGGTTTGACCCAATCTGGGTCGTAGCCAGTTCGGTCCAGGTCTGGCCTCAGCCGGTACAGTCTGAGTCTGGTCTCGTCTGGATAGAGTATGAGTCCGGTCTCAACCCGTGTGGTCTGAGTCTGATCTGGTGATCTGAACTGGCCTGGTCTGAGTCTGATCTGAATCGGCCTGTCCGGTCTGATCCGGCTTGGTCCGAACTAGTCAGAAGCAGTTTGGTCTGCCCGTTCCGTGTCCCGTCTAGTGATCCGTTCTGGTTTGGTTTGATCTGTTCTGGTCGGCTCCAGACTTTGGTCGGGTATGATCTGATCTGGTCTGATATGATCTGATTTGGTCTGGTCTTTATCTTGATGAACTGATCTGGTCTGGTCCTGATCTTGGTCTGGCTTGGTCTGATCTGATTTTTGGCTTGGTTTGGTCTGATCTGTTATGCTGCGGTCCTGACTCTTTCAACATTCAATAAGATCATGTGAAAGGCTCACAGTTTGGCACCATATTGACACTCCCGAAGGCTATCTTGAGCTCTTATGCTGGCGAGAGCGTCGTTTTCGTCCTCCTTTTTATCCAGCCGTGTAGTCAGTCAAATCATCTATCCCCCTTCCCGCTCCACTGTTGACGTTGACCATAACCCATCCATTCCACATTGAATGTCATTCGATCAGAAAACAAATAACCATGGGGACCAATCAGGCTATTCGATCAGAAAGCAATTAACCATGGAGACTAATCAGGCTACCAAGCACTCAAAAACGTGACTTATCGACTCTGTTCTGCAGCTCATCAWGTTCGAGCATTGCCGTAAGCGTGCAACATCGCCACTCATGCACARTAGATCATGCACACAGAGTCACAGACAGACATCAATGGCTTCTTTGTGTTCAACAGCGTGCACGCGGCATTCGATCATAGTAATCGTTCATCTCGGCCAGCTGCCCATCCATCTGATACAGTCTCTTGCCCTGAGCAGATGGATAACCAACGCTAAGTATGCTACCACACGAAAAAAAGAAAAGTCATTATGTTTTCTCTCTCCTCACTCGATCATGGACCGACCACTCAATACCGTTCCCTGTGCCAATTTCTTTCACGGCCAGCCAATTATATGTTGCGCAACCATCACTATGTACAGCGCTGGTAGCTCGTTTTGTCCTCTCGTCAATCAATCAATAAACCAATCAATCAATCAATCAATCGGCGCGAATCACCATCAAGTTCTGTCTTTAAGCATTCGACTCTGTTTTCAATCACGCGTCAAAGTTTATCTATCAAGAGCCATCCTCAACCATAGACTCCCGGTCAAAGCCTCAGCATCGGCCGCACGTGTTCAAGCTCATGCCAACGGCAGCGCCGCTCCTTCTTTCCGCACAAGCGCGGTTTGCTCCCTCGCACGGCCCCGCTGTATCTCAAGCCTTGTGAATGAACCGGGCTGCCATTCGGGCCGGATGCACTCTTCCTCTGCACTAAATCCCCCCCCCCCGCTTTTCGCTCGAGCAATCTCTCTCTCTTTCTCTCGCACACAGTTTTCTCTCTCTCTCATACACAGTCTTCTCTCTCTCTCACACAGTCTTCTCTCTTCCGCTCTCACACAGTCTACTCTCTCTCTCACACCGTCTTCTCTCTCTCTCTCACACAGTCTTCTCTCTCTCTCACAGTCAGTCTTCTCTCTCTCTCACACAGTCTTCTCTCTTCCGCTCTCCCCTCGTTGACCTCCCTAGACGCATGCTGTATTCCGCTGTGTACACCTGGCATGCTTCCTCCGGAACGGAGCCTTTCCGCCGTGTACACCTGGCTTGCTCACGCATCCCCCTGTGGACACCAGGCACAACTCTCTCTTCCTCCCTTTGAGCTAAGCCGCTCGCGGTGTACACCTGGCACACACTTCCCTTCTGGTACTCGTTGACTCCTCTCATATTAACTTCGTGTCTCAACACCACTGGTTCTCTTGTCCCCAACGGGACCCGAGTCCTCAGGCCCTGACWGGGCAGCGAACAGGCTCGGGGCAGTAGTCCCGGTACTCCGACGGTAGTGATGACCAGGGCCTTCAGACCAGGAAATTTCCAGTCTGAACCGTAGCCATCTGTACCGTACCATCACCGAGCCTGGAAAATGATGCAGCGAACCTGAAAATAATGCAGTGGCGTCCACCATACCGACGCCGAACCA